AATTTCAAAATAGGGTCCAGAATGAACAATGTAGCATTCCGGGCATTTAAACTAACATTTCCTCTGTTCATTAGTTATGTTTGAGGCTTTACAAATAAATTCCATTTTGATTTTTTATTCACATAATGAATTTTTATTCACACCAAAAAATAGAAGATTTACTCTTATGAATACTGTAAAAATTTGTATAAATATCATCACCATATTTGTGAATGTATATTAGACCCACCAGCTGACGTGTATTAGATGTGTGAGGTCGTTTGTTTACTCTTGAATATCGGCAAAAATTTAACATTTCCGCTACTTTGAGCTCAGTTTCAAGCCATTTCCAATGCTAAAATAATCAAAATCATCTCTTTTTTCTGTAACATGTCTTCAATTCTATCAATGAGACCAAGAAATCGCAAATACAACTATAAAAAACATACGAAAAAACACTGCAAAGTTGCTGTTTTAATCGAAAAATCATGATTTCATTTTTTTTCTCTCATTATACACAGTGTGCTGCAGGATCTGTTTTATGTGGTGCACACATACCACATAGATGTATTCTCTCATATCTGGGCCCCAAATGTACCACTCACAGTTTATCAGAGTGAGCTGAGCTCATGGCGTAGATCTACGGCTTGGACCCTGAACGTAAAGCCGTAGATCTACGGGACGGACCCTGAAAGGGTTAACAAGACTGTAAACTCAAAATACAAAAGGTACAAGATTTAACAAGACCTTTGAATCTGGCCGTAAAGTATATCTATGGATTACTGGACTGACCAAGAATATAAATATCAAAAGTCTTTCAAAGTAATGAGGAACAAGGTGAGTCAGCTCTAGAGTCCAATTCTCAAAAACCATTCAAACTGTACACCGTAAGAGCCAATATACGATCAGTTGTCAGGGCTAGAGCAGGAAGCAGACTGACTACTTGCCAGTCTGTTGACGTGTCGTCAGGTTGGATCAGCTGAGCCACGTCAGCCAGCCGGACATAAACAATTGAACAATTCACCAGATGGTTCCGAGACTTAAACTCTATATACACAAGAAATTCTACCTAACAATAATACTAAAATAATAGTGATAATAACAAAATAGTGATAATACCATGGTATTTTTCATATATTAACAGATAATAATATAACGCCGAAAGTCTCTATTTTAGCTATAAACGGGGACCTTCGCGCTATAATATTAAGTGATGAACATATTCTCTTACAATAGTTAAATAACACAGGATGACCAATTTCGAAGATATAACAGGTACCAACACTCTTATATGGGTGTGAAGCATGGGTTGTAAATGCTGCAGCAAGAAGGCAGCTGGAGACAGGTGTCTAAGGGCAATGTGTGGTGTAAATATTATGCATAGAATTTGTAGTGGGGAAATTAGGAGATGTGGATTTACTAAAAGTATTAGTCAGAGGGCTGAAGGGTGGGTTGCTGAGGTGGATTGGTCATTCAGAGAGAATGAAACAAAGTAGAATGACTTGAAGAACATATAAATCTGTAGGGAAAGGAAGGCAGGGTAGGGGTAGTCCTCAAAAAGGTTGGAGGGAGGGGATAAATGAGGTTCTGTGGGCGAGGGGCTTGGACTTCCAGGAAGCATGAATGAGCGTGTTAAATAGGAGTGAATGGAGATGAATGGTTTTTGGGACCTGATGAGCTGTTGGAGTGTGAGCTGGGTAATATTTTGTGAAGGGATTCAGGGAAACTGGTTAGCTAGACTTGAGTCCCTGGAAAGGGGAAGGACAATGGCAGTTTGGAGGGACATCTAAATTGTCTTATCTGAGTACCTCTGCAAAGACAGTGATTATGTATGAGTGATGGTGAAAGTGTTGAATGATGATGAAAGTTTTTTCTTTCTCTTTGGGTCACCCTGCCTCGGTAGGAAACAGCTGACATGTTGAAAAAAAAAATAATAATGTAACTTGTACAATGAAGGAAGTCTTAAAGACACTAACACTGATATCTCATATAAATAATAATCAGGTTTAGCTCAATGTAGAGAATCTTGAATACAGGAAATGATTATTTTTTTAATCAGGCTGACAAATCATTTAAGTAGCTAATTAATGTCAATTAATTGTGACATTATCAAACTTATTCCACTTTATTCCTTATCAAGAAATAAATGAAATTGATGAAGTGAATACAGAGAAAGGTGTGGGAACAACAGCAGCAGTAGCAGTGGTGCTATAGCTTGCCTGCACTATCCCACGCCCTCACTAAACCACTTGATATTTTTCAGTCTTAACAAATACAAGTTGGACAACTGAAATGTGTCCCAGTGTGCTTCACGATTACTATACTGTATTTGCTATAAAGTGTGTAGTAGGTTGGTAGACAGCAACCGCCCAGGGAGGTACTACCGTCCTGACAAGTGAGTGAAAAACGAAAGCCTGTAATTGTTTTACATGATGGTAGGATTGCTGGTGTCCTTTTTTTCTGTCTCATGAACATGCAAGATTTCGGGTATGTCTTGCTACTTCTACTTACACTTAGGTCTCACTACACATACATGTATAAGCATATATATACACACCCCTCTGGGTTTTCTTCTATTTTCTTTGTAGTTCTTATTCTTGTTTATTTCCTCTTATCTCCATGGGAAAGTGGAACAGAATTCTTCCTCCGTAAGCCATGCATGTTGCAAGAGGCGACTAAAATGCCGGGACCAAAGGGCTAGTAACCCATTCTCCTGTATAGATTACTATATTTAAAGAGAGAAACTTTTGTTTTTCTTTTTGGGCCACCTTGCCTCGGTGGGATACAGCCGGTTTGTTGAGAAAAAAAAAATTACTATAAAGCACTAAACTATTAAATATTGTAGTGGAGAGGAAAATTTTTAAATTTCACATTCATGCTGTAGTTTAAGTTAGTGAGAGTAGCATGTTCAAGCAGCAGTAACTATCTCACTTCCTCTCACGTCTTAATTATAACAAATAAAGTTGATAAGACAATTCAAATGTGTGGTAAAATTTAATTATTTTTTAACCCAATAACCATCTCCCACCAAGGAAGGGTGACCCAAGAAAAGAAAGCAATTTCACCATCATTCATTCAATTGTCATCTTTCCAGAAGTGTACTGACATCACAATCATATTACCCTCAAACTGCAATACTCACACCCTTTCTTCAGAATGTAAGCACTCCCCCTTACCACCTCCAGGACTAAAGTCTAGCCAACCAGTTTCCCTGAACTCCTTCATAAATGTTACCTTGCTGTTTCTTGGTATCAACTGAGAGAATGCAAGACATAATGGTGAAATTGAGATGATTTTGGTCAGTTTCAGACCAGAAGTAGCTTGAAATAGGAATTAAAATAGTGGGAATATTTAATACAGTATCCATGGGAAAGTGGAACAGAATTCTTCCTCCGTAAGCCATGCGTGTCGTAAGAGGCGAATAAAATGCCAGGAGCAAGGGGCTAGTAACCCCTTCTCCTGTATATATTACTAAATTTAAAAGGAGAAACTTTCATTTTTCCTTTTGGGCCACCCCATCTTGATGGGATACGGCTGGTACGTTGAAAGAAAAAGAAGATTTAATACAGTGGTACCTCAAGTTTCAAACAGGTTCCAACTCAAACAATTATGTAAGTGTATTTTTGTAAGTCCTCCATGGGGAAGTGGAACAGAATTCTTCCTCCGTAAGCCATGCGTGTTGTAAGAGGTGACTAAAATGCAGGGAGCAAGGGGCTAGTAACTCCTTCTCCTGTATACATAACTATATTTAAAAAGAGACTTTTGTTTTTCTTTTTAGGCCACCCTGCCTCAGAGGGATCTAGCTGGTTTGTTGAAAGAAAGATTTTTGTAAGTGTATTTTTGGGGGCCTAAAACATACGAATCTAATTTACATTATTCCTTATGGGAACAAATTCGTTCAATATCAGCACTCGAACAGCCTTCTGGAACAAAATAAGTTCATAATTCGAGATACCACTGCATTTCCTAAGGTCAGGGCTTGCCCCAGTTTGCTTCACGGGTTTTTATTAGGTTTGCTTCACTTATTGGGAGGGCCTAAACCATGACTTGTCATTCTTAGTTATATTTTATTATCTATAAAACAGGGTAAAAAAATGACTATTTTGTGTGACAACTTATTCAAAACAGAAGACAAGTGTTATATAGGAGAGGCCTGGAGATGTGATTAATGAAGAGAGATTACCAACTTCTGTGCATATTACAGGGTAGCTCTAATAGGCAAACAGGTGATTTCTTGTGTTCAGTTGATAGAGAGGAAGGCATACTAGTAAAATAACTAGTATGCCTAACTATTTTGCTAGGCTTAAAAAGGCCTCAACGTGGGCACAATCACCAATGTGTAAACTATGTCCAGACTACTAACTTTGTGCCTGTGTAATTCCATAAATTTTCCAACAAATTTCACACGTATGTTGTCATTACATTCACAAAAAGATTCTCTACAATTTTAGAAGTTTTCTAAATTGCAACACTGCCAAAACTTACAATTTTGGGGGTTAAAGCAGTGAAAGTGTTAAATTCCATTCCAAGTCAAAAATGTAATGAATTTAATAAAACAAAATTTCCTATAACACTGTCACACACTTACAAATTTTTTTCTTGCAATGCAAATATGTTCAAGAAGTCTATGAAGAGGCTGATACTGTATTACATCAAAATTTAGTATCTGCAAAATATGATTTACATAATATCACGTAAATATTTGTTAACTTTGTCAATTTTTCACATTTTTAACTGTAAAGACAAATGACTGAGAGCATTTTTTTGAGCCACAACCAGTGTAACATACCTGCAAAGTTGTCCAGCGTGACTCAGACCATCGGCAAATGTGTGCCCATCGCTCACCCAAGGCATTTAATTCATCTTCCAGAGTTGAATATGCTATAAGGAAAGATATAATTTAAGTAAATTATTAAATCTTTTAGTTGTAATGCTAATGCCAACCAATTGTAAATTATTAAATCTTTTAGTCAAAACGCTAATGCCTACCAATCTCAAACTAACTCAATAAAACTTTTAAAACTAGATGTAGTAACACAATTTTGATTAACACACAAAAGAGATCAATTAAGATCAATTAACTATAATTGGATGATGGATAAGAAAAATGGGGTCATCATCCACTTCCATTCTTCTCATGCAGATAACTTAAAGCTTGAGATATTTTACAAATCTTTTATTGATCCATCAGTTCAATTTGGTGTAGACACCTTCTAAAAAAAATACAAACACTTCTCTAAATAATATCTCATGGGTTGTACATAGGCCCCCCCCCCTTATACGGCAGGTTAGGTTCCAGGCTGTCGCCGGAAAGCAGACATCGCCGGAAGGCAGAATGCCATTTTTTTCCATTTATAAATGCATATAAATGCCAGACAACATGTTGTAAGAGGCAACTAAAATGCCGGGAGCAAGGGGCTAGTAACCCCTTCTCCTGTATATATTATTAAATTTGAAAGGAGAAACTTTCGTTTTTCCTTTCGGGCCGGTGTGTTGAAAGAAAGAAAGATTTAACCCTTTGAGGGTTTCAGACGTACTAGTACGGCTTACGACCCAGGGTTTTTGACGTACTAGTACGCCTAAATTCTAGCGCCCTCAAATCTAGTGGGAGAAAGCTGGTAGGCCTTCATATGAAAGAATGGATCTATGTGGTCAGTGTGCACAGTCTAAAAAAAATCCTGCAGCACACAGTGCATAATGAGAAAAAAAAAACTTTGACCATTTTTTTGGAATAAAACAGCGACTTTGCACTGTATTTTCGTATGGTATTTATTGTTGTATTCTAGTTTTCTTGGTCTCATTTTATAGAATGGAAGACATATTACAGAAATTGAGATGATTTTGACTGGTTTTACAATGAAAGATACCTTGAAATTGAGCTCAAAGTAGCAGAAATGTTCGATTTTTACCAAATTTCAAAAGTAAACAAATCGTGCCAAGCGTGCAATACACGTCAACTGGTGAGTCTAATATTCTTTCACGAGTGCGCCAATAATATTTATACCATTTTTTACACTAATGCAGTAGTCTGCATAACAGTAAATCTTTATATTTTTTGTGAGAATAAAAAATTCAAAGTGGAAAGCAAAAGAATATAAAAGGGGCCTTGAGACGTGACTAATGACCAGAGGAAATGTCATTTTAGGGCCAGGAATGTCTTTCTTGTTTATTCTGGACCCTATTTGGAAATTGGCATCTTTTGAATTTGTGTGAAATTGGCAAAATTGCTAAATTCTGACCACTGTACTGGATAGTTGAATTTCATAAATGGGTGGTTTCTTGCACCCATTCGATAGAAAAAAATGGAGTTCTAGCGAAATATTCATGTTTTTTGTCGACTAGTACAGTGGAATTGGCCGAAAATGGGGCTCAAAGTGGGCAAAATCGCCGATGCGTAAACATCGCCGAGACCGCTAACTTTGCGAGAGCATAATTCCGTAAGTTTTCCATCAAATTTCAAACTTCTGGTGTCCTTATGATCGGGAAAAGATTCTCTGTCTTTTCATAAGAAAAAATAATTATATTTTTTTTTTAAATTTGGCCGACCCTGAGAACGAGTTTCGGAGAGGGCCTTTCGACCCTCAAAGGGTTAAAACATCCCACAGAGTTAAAATACACATATAGTACACTCACTATTTACCTTAAAATATGTGTAGTCTTAATATAGGTAGAGAGATGAGTAGTATTTATTTGTAGGAAGTCAGTGTAGGTAGCCGGTAGGTGTAGCCCGCCTGGGCTACACCTAACTGGTACCTATACTGTGGCCCAGAGCCATATTATTAACAGACATACCTTGTTCACTGAATTTAATCGTTTCTAACAACTACCTTTAGTTGCCATCATAAACGAAGGGAGAAGTAATGAATAATTGATGCCGAAAATTGTAAACAAAAGCAGAGTGGGGGAGTGGCTGGGCCAAACGCAGATTCATACATGTTTTCTCTGATGGCTGAGCAGAGAAAACGTAATGTTGTCCCTCCACCCGGCTACCACAGACGTCCACAAGTATTATTATCAAGAACATATAAAATATGAAATAAATGCCAGACAACAAGTTTACACTAACTTACATTAAGTAGCAATAGAAATAGGCATTAAAAACACAATAAAAGGTAAGATACACACAGATTACACTTATTACTTACCTTAAAATATTAATATTAATGTGTGAGAGGTGAGTGGCAGGATGTTTATTGAATAAAATCAGAATGGCACACCATCATCCTCTAACTTGGCACTTAAAGCAAGAGTCTTACGACTCCTCTTTTTATCACAGCTAAGCTTAGATGCCATCGTCACTGAGAGCCAACAAGTTAACGAAAGAGTAAATGAGAGAGAGAACGAGATACAGAGTTCAGACAATGTAAGAATACAAACTGAACAGGTAGTGGGCGATCACTTGTTGAGGCGAAATAAATGCGTATTAATGTGCGTCTACTTTTAGTCCATTTACGTACGTTTGTAAGAGTTTGTAAAACATTTACCTCAATTTTTTTTATTATAATAATACAGTGGACCCCCGGTTAACGAACTTTTTTCATTCCAGTAGTATGTTCAGGTGCCAGTACTGACCGAATTTTTTCCCATAAGGAATATTGTGAAGTAGATTAGTCCATTTCAGACCCCCAAACATACACGTACAAACGCACTTACATAAATACACTTACATAATTGGTCGCATTTGGAGGTGATCGTTAAGCGGGGGTCCACTGTAATTACTTCAAAATACAAATACTCTTACACTGTGTACAAGTTGTACAAGTTAGTACAGAATAAACAAACAGCAACACACCACTTTTAGAGTTAATGAAGATATTATTATTATTATTATTATAAAAAGCACTAAACCCACAAGAATCGTGAATTGCTATATATAGAGTGAAGGCATACGAAAAGAATATTTTTCTACAGTTATCCCCCAGTTTGACAGCTGCTTTGTAAACAAATCTCATATTAACGTCAATTTTTATTCGTTGAGTGTATGCATCACGTTTATTATTCTATGTAACAGGTTTCATATATAATTTTGAGGAAAATATAATAGATGGATTAATGAAAATGCCTATATTAATGTAAAATAAGACATTTAATGTGCCCAAGAGTGATTATTATTACGTAGTATTGGTGTCATGAGTAGAGAGAGACTTAGCGATTTTAATGTGTACCTGCACACCAGCACGGTGTGCAAGTATATTTAGGTACAGGTACACATAAGTGCAATTATCAGAGTACATATGAAATATGCAATAACTTTAAAACACTTGAAATTTTGGAAAGTTTCCTGACATAATAGATATGGTCACAGAGAATGTAAACAAACCAGGTGGGACGCACCGTATTTGAAAGACCGCTTGTCGTATAGCAAATTTTGGTCATAATTTGACATCACCGTATTAGCGGAACGCCGTAAGGCAAAACGACGTAAAGCAGGGTCCTACTATATATTAAATACATAATGTGCCTGCTTTAAGAGGACAACCAATAATAAGTTTACCAAAGGGTTATGATCAAGTCTCCTAGATCTTAATTTCTTTTTCAACACATTGGCTGTCTCCCACTGAGGCAGGGTGACCCAAAAAAGAAATACTTTCACCATCATTCACACACAATCACTGTCTTTGCAGAGGTGCACAGATATGACAGTTCGGATGTCACTCCAAATAGCAAATATCCCAAACCCCTTCTTTAAAGTGAAGGCATTGTACCTTCCTATCTCCAGGACTCAAGTCTGGCTAATTGGTTTCCCTGAATCCCTTCACAAAATATTAACCTACTCACACTCCAACAGCTCATCAAGTCCCAAAAACCATTCATCTCCATTCACTCCTATCTAACAAGCTCACACATGTCTGCTGTATTCATACATACATGGCATGCATACATGCCTGTATTCTTATTTACATAATAATAATAATAATAATAATAATAATAATAATAATAATAATAATAATATAATAATTAAACAAATAAAAATAATAGTAATAATGCTGCCTCAGTGTAATAATAATAATATGGCTCCATGAAAAAAGGGTGAGCCACAGAATAGATGAGGGGAAAAAGAAGGTATAGTAGGTGGTGTTGAGACATGTAGAAAGAAAGAGGTTTATATATAGAGGTAAAAATGTGAATGTACCAAAGTACAGTTGTACCAATAAGTTTGTATAGATGTGAGGCACAGACTTTGATCAGTACAGCAGGAAGGTCAGATTCATGTTTGAGAGCAATGTGAGGCATGAATATTATGCAGTGTTCAGTGTAGGAATTTAAAGGCAGTGAGGTCATGAAGAGAATATGTGAGAGGGCTCAGAAGGGGTTGCTGAGGTGGTTTGAGCATTTATAAAGGATAGAAAAGACTAGGATGATGAAAAGGATGTATAAATTTGGGGTAGAAAGAGTGAGTTGGAATTATCCTAGGAATGATTTTAAAGAAAAAGTAGAGGAGGTCTTGAGTTTTAGGGGCTTGAGCATCAAGCAAGCTTGTGTGAGCATGTTAGAGAGAAGTGAATGGAGACATGTGATCTTTAACCCTTTCAGAGTTTGTCCCATAGATCTATGGCTTTGAAGCCAGGGTCCAAGCCACAGATCTATACGCCATGAGCTCAGCTCACTCAGATAACCTGTGAGCGGTAAATTTGGGCCTAGATATCAGAGAGTACACCTATGTGTTAAGTGTGCACCATTAAACAAATCCTGCAGCATGCAGTGCATAGTGAGAGGAAAAAACTGCAACCGTAAGTTTGGATTAAAACAGCGACTTTGTGGTGTTTTTTCCTATGTTTTTTACAGTTGTATTCACAATTTCTTGGTCTCATTTGATAGAATGGATGATATATTACAGAAATCGAGATGAATTTGATTAGTTTTAATGCTGAAAATGGCTT